AGCGCCCGCCGCCCGCCGCCGGCGTCGCGGCCTCTTACGACTACCTGGTGATCGGGGGCGGCTCGGGCGGGCTGGCCAGCGCGCGCAGGGCGGCGGAGCTGGGCGCTAGGGCCGCCGTGGTGGAGAGCCACAAGCTGGGCGGCACATGCGTGAGTACGGGGTCCCCCGCGGCGCGCGTCTCCTGGCGCCTCTGCCTCTGCGGCGCGGCGTCCCGCAGCCCGGCTTTGTCTTCGCTCTGCAGGGGCAGCCTGTCCTCTTTCCTAGTGCGGTCGGTCCGCCCGTCCGGGCATGGGTCTCCAGCGCCGCGCTCTCTGCTTTCCCACCCGCGTCTGAAATCAGGGTCCCAGCAGGTTTAGAGGAGACAAGTGTTAAGGGCTTCCCTGCGGCTCCCAAGGCGAAGCCTTCGTCTGTTCCAGCCCAGGGGCAGTGTTAACCGTAGGGGGTTAAACCTAACAGAACTTGACTGCATCCTCCCTCCTCAAGGTGGGAGAGTACAGTATTCCATCCTTGATCTCATTCCCAGATCCGTGAAACAGAACTGCCCGTGGAAAAATTGAAGCTGGCGTGGGGGGTCGGGGAGCCGGACTGGGTGTACATGCCCTTGAGGAATGCGGATCCTGATCCTCTCCTTTCAGTTCCAGGGGCAGAATGATTTACAGCAGTGGTTCTCACCCCTTGACTGCATATTCGAATCACCTGAGAAGTTGGCAAAATTCTGCTGTGGGTTCCACTCCCATGGCTTCTGATTTCACTGGTCTGAGGTGCAGCCTGGGCTTTGGGAGTTTTTAGAAGCTCAACAGGTGATTCTGATTGCAGCCAAAGTTGACAGCCACTGACTATAGGTTACCTCGATGTAGGATTTACAATTAATTGAATTCTCAGATCTTTTTCTTTTGTTAGTTTTGTCTTTTTTTGGGGGGGGGTTGGATTTTAAAATCGCCTCCAAAAAAGAGGGTCGAAAATCTTACGATTGAGAAGCTTCATTAAAAAAAAAAAGTTCCCATGTAATTGCTGTGGCCTTTTCTGTCACAAAACTTGGGTGAGGTACTTGCTATTAATAGTAAAATTCTGTATCCAAGAGTAACCTGGGATTGGAAAGGGTTCTCCACATTCTTTTGGAGACTGATGTTTAAATTATACCAAATTGGGAACTCCTTAAGGGCAGGGATGGGTTCTTGCACCTCTTAACACCTTAACAAAATACCTTGCTCAATAACCATATGTGTAATGAATCAAACTCAAAATTGACAGTTTGTGGAAAGGGCTGACTCCATTGTCCAGTACTCATTTTTCACGTTCAGAATGAAAGTGGAAATGGAGGAAAGGAAAAATCCCTGGTAATCATCAACTTGCACCTTGACATCTTAGTGCAGACTCTGTTAGAACTCTGTCTCTGCAGAAAACAGAGGGGTGCCATTAGGAGGCCCCCTGGACAGCTGGTGAGAGCACTTGATGATTTCTCATCCTCGTACCTCTTTTCTTTTCTTTCTTTCTTTTTTTTAAGATTTTGTTTTTACGTAATCTCTACACCCAACGTGGGGCTGGAACTCACAACCCGGAGATCAAGAGTCTCACGCTCTACTGACTGAGCCAGCCAGGCACCCTGTACCTCTTTACTTTTCTGTTTTCCTCCTTCCGCGTTACGTCATAATCAGCGTGTGGCATCCATCATTCTTGCCTGGTTCCACTGATATTAATCAAGAAGGGGCATTTTTAGGTTCTTGTTAGGAATATGAATACGCTAAGAGGTAAACTACGTCTGGAGCAAGCGAAGAATAGCTCTGTTCAGCCATTTACTACTTCCTTATAGAATGCCTGGCCTTGCCTGTATCATTCTGCTACAGCAACTTTTCTTTTCCTGTAAGCATTGGTATCTTGGGCAGATCCCCTATTTCATATTTTCACGACATTCCATTTGGGTTCTTCTCAAACTGGCTTTTGGTTTTGAATTACAAGGAAGGGTGTAGGTGTGTGTTGAATATCAGAGAATATATAACAATTGATAAGACAAGAGTTTAAATTTAAGATTCCAGTAATCTAGGCTAGCTATAGTTGCAGTAATAAACTTCTGATGTCCCGTGATTTCCAAGCAGGTGCAGGGAAAAGGGAGGCCCTCTGAAGCACATCATTTCATTTGTTCATGTCTTCATTTCCTGTATTCTAGAATCTTTTTTTTTTTTTAAGATTTAATTTATTTATTTGACACAGAATGAGAGAGAGAGGAATCACAAGTAGGCAGAGTGACAGGGAACGGCAGAGGGAGAAGCAGGCTCCCCTCTGAGCAAGGAGCCCGATGTGGGACTCGATCCCAGGACTCTGGGATCATGACCTGAGCCGAAAGGCAGACGCTTAATGACTGAGCCACCCAGGTGCCCCTTCATTTCCTGTATTCTAAGTGCTAAGTACTTGGATTGAGGCTGGCAGAGAGAAGAGGGTAGATACAAATATCTGAAAGGCAAAGGTCCCTTCCCACAGGGAATTTGCAATATAGTGGGGAAGCAAAATGTCGACAGTCAACTCCAAAGTGGGGTGATCTGTGTTAATTGCTGCCGATAGTAAAAAATTACAGTAGTTGAGAGGAGAGTTGGAATCATCACTTCTGCCTGGGCACCATGGGATGGATGCTTTTGTGAAGGAGAGAGTTTCTTTTCTTTCTTTTCTTTCTTTCTTTCTTTCTTTCTTTCTTTCTTTCTTTCTTTCTTTCTTTCTTTCTTTCTTTTTTTCTTTCTTTCTTTTTCTTTCTTTCTTTCTTTCTTTTCTTTTCTTTCTCTTTCTTTCTTTCGAGATTTTATTATTTGTCAGAGAGAGAGAAAGAGAGCACAAGCAGGGGGAGCGGCAGGCAGAGGGAGAAGCAGACTCCCCGCCGAGCAGGGAGCCCAATGTTGAGACTCAATTCCAGGACGGTGGGATCATGACCTGAGCTGAAGGCAGACGCTTAACCGACTGGGCTACCCAGGCGTCCTGGAGAGAGTATCTTTCTGAACTTGAACAGGATGAATACCGTTTTTTGATAGGGTAGGATCAGAGGCAAAGGCAGAGAGGCAGGTTAGGTTATGTAATTGAATTTGGAGCAGAGGGTGTCTCTAATAGAAGTAAGATATGGGAAGCTGATGGGTAGGTTGTGGTAAAAAAAAAAAAATGAAGTTCCTAGGGGCACGTGGCTGGCTCAGTCCATAGAGCATATGACTCTCGATGTTGGGGTGGTGAGTTCAAGCCCCACATTGGGTGTAGAGCTTACTTAAAAAGAATGAAGTGAACTGTGTGAAATGGTTTTTGAGTAGGGGAGTGACTCAATAAAAGTGATTTTGTGGTAGTGGTACAATTGGAAGATGTCCCTGGGGACAGTCAAATAGAAGTTTCTTTAATATTGATTTGTTAAGCATTTTTTTCCTAAATAAAATATTTTGATTCTGGAGCATGGTGAATTTTTTAAGTTGCTGCGGGTGAATTCACACTGAAGATCCAAATTAAAGTCTTCCTGTAGTTAGAGGGATTGTGTTTTTTCTTTTTTAAAGATTTTTTTATTAGAGAGAGAGAAAGAGTGAGCATGGGGGGGGGGCAGAGGGAGAGGGAGAAGCAGACTCCCCTCTGAGCAGGGAGCCTGATGTGGGACTCAATCCCAGGACCTTGGGATCATGACCTGAGCTGAAGTCAGATGTTTAACCGACTGAGCCACCCAGGCACCCCAGTGGGATTGTGTTTTTTTTTTTTTTTTTTAAGATTTTATTTATTTATTTGACAGAGAGAGATACAACAAGAGAGGGAACACAAGCAGGGGGAGTGGGAGAGGGAGAAGCAGGCTTCCCGCGGAGCGGGGAGCCCGATGCGGGGCTCGATCCCAGGACCCTGGGATCATGACCTGAGCCAAAGTCAGACGCCCAATGACTGAGCCACCTAGGCACCCCAGGTTGTGTTTTGTTTTTAATTGTTTTATTTTTGTTTGCTCATTTATTAATTCATATCCCAGGTATACAGGTACTTTTTTAGATGCTGGGGTCATAGCTTCAAACAAAGCAGATAAAAATCCCTGTCCTTGTGGAGCTTACATTGTAGGTGTTATCTGCAGTTTCTAAATTTTCCATGCAATATTTTTGTAATAAATTTTTTTCAAGATTTTATTTATTGGAGAGAGAGTGAGAGCTAGAGAGAGAGAGCTAAAGAGAGAGAGCACACACACAGGAAAAGCGAGAGAGAGAGAGAAGTATACTCCCCATTGACCAGGGAGCCCAATGGGGGGTTCAGTCCCAGGACCTGTGGGGGGGTTCAGTCCCAGGACCCCAAGATCATGACCTGAGCCAAAGGCGGAGGCTTCATTGACTGAGCCCCCCAGGTGCCCCAGTACTTTTAGCTTTATGAAACACTACATGGACCTTGTTTTCCTTTCATTTAGGATTAGACTCACATAGATCCTTGTAGGAATTTGGGAAGCATTGTTCTGGTTCAGCACCCTTACTTTACTGAGGAGCAGAGTGGTGTCAGCTAAAATATACTAAGCCTTCTAATGGATAAACCAGGTCAAGAGGCATGGGTAGCTCTCATACCATGATTCCACCCTTAAATTGGTCTTTATTTTTCTCCATGGGGAAAAAGTTGTAGGGTATTAGGTTGGACACTAAAAGTGGGAAACTGGAAGAAATCATCTATTTTCCCCTAGAATTCAATTAAAGATAATAAACTCTTGTTGCCTGTTGCAGTTAAGTCATTTCTGAGGGCAGAAAAATAAATGAGATGATCTTTGAATTCAGTTTTTGGCATCTCCAAAAAATTAAGCGTAATACTTCCCTCATGATCAACTGTAGACCAAGGAGAAATGCAAAGATTGCCCAGAGCCAAGGTGAATGAGAGCCTTCTGGGAGTTTTGTCTGTGTGGTTCAGTTCTCGGCCTACGCAGACGTGGGAAGAGTCAGCTCGAGGAAAAGTTCTTTCTGATTTACTGCTCCCTTTGCCTCAGGGCCTGTGGGAGCACATGTTCCAGTGTTCTTGCTGAGTGTACGGATTCTGTAACCTGGTTCTTGTGGTATAGCCGTGCAGTTCTTACCAATGGGAGTTCGTACTAAGGGTTGATTACCCGACCCAAAGGCTTTTCTCTTTTCCTTCGCTTTTCTCCCCTCCCCTCCCCTCCTCTTCTTATTTGTCAGAGAGAGAGAAA